AGACAAACTGAAGCTGTGTTCAGCTTCAGCTGGCATGCTAGAATAACAAAACCAGAAATAATGTTGCATTGATCGAGGTGTGAAGACAGATTAAAATTAGTCTTCAAGTGGGAGATTGTTGGAAATTCTAGATTGTTGAAAATTCTAGATTTTCTAGATTGGCAGTCGGCTAATTTTCTTCATGCAAGTGGGGCGGCTAGTGGTTCAAAGTGGGCAGCCAAAATTGTTGAATTTAAGAAATAGGGAGAATTATAATTTAGTCTCTGTATACTTTAGGGTATTTACAAGATTAGTCCTTAAGCTTCAACTATAAATACCCTAACCCATTTAGCTTCAAAATCATCCCAAAAATCATTTCTTTCTCCCAATACTAGAGAGCTTTCTTGTGAGTTGTGAGTGTTTTGTAAACACCTGTAAATTTTCTCTTTAGTAAAAGATCTACAGCAGTCCGGAGACGTAGGTAAAATTGGTTGAACTCCGTTATCAATTTCGGGTATTATTTTTCCGCTTTTATTTCGCATTCTCACTAATCTGGTTATAGGTAAATTACTCGTTTATTTCCCAACATTGACCTTGTAAGATGTTCACTACCAACATAAAGCAAGTAATATTGTAAAATTACAACTAAACCTTGTGCTGGTCATGACATTCTCCTTCATATTTTCACCAACAATCATTTTATTGGTGTCACTTCCCTAAAATGCTCCATAGAGCTCATAAATTAGTAGCTCATTCTGTAGTGTAGAGTAAAATCAAGTGCCTTTATGATCTTCAATACTTGTTCATTGTTCCCTAATTCAAACACCCAATCCCTGTGAATTGCCTCCATCGTGGGGTATATACTTGTGTTAACCTGCAAATTAAAGTAGCCTCTCAAGCAATTAAGTTTATTTGGTCTTACATTTTTTTCAGATACAATTCTGCCCGAAAAACTCAAACAGTCAATTCCATATTGCCAAAATTATAAGTAACAATATACATATATCCTCCAAAATCCATTACCACAATATGTTCATCCTCAGCAGAAACACAAAAAACAAGAAAACCTTTTCTCTTTAATGTTCGAATTATGTATGGGTAAAAATAGTTTGTTATTCCCCATGGACAAAACAAATGTCAGAAGAAGAACCAAATGAGTAAACTACTACATTATCAATTACAGCTAAAGCATAACTTGAGTAAACAATAATATGAATTATAAAGCTAATAATATGAATTATAAAGTTAAATTTTTTAAGCAGTTCCACCACTTTGACTCTATCTTTATGGATGGGGATGTGAACAAATCCAATATTTATTCCATATCATTAAGAGTTAAATCCAATAATTCATCATTACTTAGTTTCTCCTTGATCCCACTGATTTTCAATCTACACCATGCATGAAAAAAATCTACACCAAAACAGAGCACAATGCAGCCATGGAGTCATGAAATAATATTAGATCATTGAAACTACTCCATATATTGAACTTCAATATAATAAAAATCATAATGTGCAACCTTTTATTCACTCTCAAATTCATATCCAAATAAATCATACTGCTTCCCATAAAAAAAAAGTCTAAACACATAAGGATCAAGGATTGTTCATTGACGTTCATAAACATCATGAAATAAATTTCTCTAAATATCGATTGAACTAGAGTATTCAAATTATTTGAGTTACTATATTTTTGACACTATAGAAATTGATCCATATTTATCGTTGAAGGAGAACCAACTAATTGTTTTTGTGACGTTTGAACTATTTGAATCGTGTCATCAAAGAGTCTGGATAAATCAATGACGAAGATTGAAAGGTAGCAACTTGAACGGATATACGTAAATCTTGATTTTCCCACGAAATTAGTTTGATATATCCAACCAGACTAACATTCTGCTGCAACAGTGAATTAGCCTTCATAGATCCGGTGATGAATGAAAATACAACATCAACTGCTCTTGTTGATGTTTTATCGAACGCTTGAGAAATATCATATGTGCATTCTATTGCCACTGATAACATATTTTTATGAGTGAGGAAAATGGGTTTAGACTTACCCAGTGAAAGTTGCACCATTCCTTTCTCCCCATGAATTTATTTCTCTTGTAATTGAGTAAAGTAGTCCCCATGAATTTGCTTTTGCTCACTCTTTTTATCATTTAGAATCTGTAAGATTTGTTCCATATATCTCTGATTTGTTGTCATTTTAAATTCCAACGTACTTAATCAACTTTTATGCTTTTTTTCACTATTTAGGGAGTGTTTGGATCAAGGAAAAGAGTATTATCAAGGGTAATAATCTTTTCCGGAATCAAATATCTATGTTTTGTTCAAAAGCATTCCCTTTAGGGGGTAATGGAGCATTAACAATAGTAACTTTTTTGCTTGGATTCATGGGAATCCTATTGCCTCATCCACCTTAGGTATTAACAATTCATTTGATTTTAGACAAAATTACCCCTTAAATAAATGGATAATTTCAAAATTTTCATTTCTTTTATTCTTTTAAGCTTTTTTATAAATCATTTACTTTATTTGCATTCTCTCAAAGTTAATATTTACTACTTAATAAATTATATTTGTATTCTCTCATAATTTGAATTTAAACTCAATTCCTTTTTCAGTTTTCATGATGTATTAAAAATTGAATATATGATATGTATCTTTTATTTTACTCATTTATATTTTTAATTTTATAAAATAAAATATATAAATTAGAAATAAAAATATTTTTATATAAATATTTTTATTTTAATATTAAAAATTACATTTATTAAAAAATATCTCACAGAGACAATTTGGTAAAATATACATTCTAGTAATCTTAAATTCCCTCAACCAAACACTATATTCTTACATTCCTGTCAAACAAACCAAACAAAGTAATGTAACATTCCCAGTAATGTGTCAAGTAATGCAATATTTCGATAATCTTATTCCCAAAGGTAATCTAGTATTCCATGAACCAAATGACCCCTTAGGGGGTTGGTGTCACCTATTACTTGTTGTAGTTTGCTTGATAGTTCATCAAGTTGTCGTTGGATGGCAATTAAATCTACCTTTTCTATCATACTCTGATTCTTTTTATGTCTACCCAGTTCTACAGAGTGCCAGGATAGCAAATTCTGATGCCAATTTGTTAAGAACCCAAGAGAATTGAAGAACGATGATCGAAGAAAATAGAAATAGAGATTAAGAGAAGAGAAAATTTAGAGAAGAGAGATTAAAAAAATAACTTCATCCAATATTTTTATGAAAATAATCTCTTCAGTACATGGTATTATTTGTTTACAATGTACCCATAGATAAAGCCTATAGTTGGCAGTCCTTGTTGTACTGAATAGGACAACCTGCATAGATAAACAAGTTGTTTCCAATTCTTAATGGGCTACAGGGTTTAATGACATCAGTCTCCTCACGTGCACCGTTATGTGCTTATCACGTGCTTCCACTATCCCATCCTCCTCTGTATTAATTGAATTATCCCTCAATTCTTCGTTCTAAATTCCTAAGCCTTTCTTTGATTTTCCCAATTCTCTTTCTTCGAGTCTCTCCTCTCCTCTTCTTCTCTATGCATGACATTATTTTATTTAAATATTATATAAACGAATGAAAAGACAATAACATCATTATAACTATCTCTTTATCAATATTTAAAGAATGACTCTTTGATTTCTTATTAATTGATTTGATACTCGATTAGCGTTTACTACTTCTAAATGTACTAGTGATTAGGGGTGTTTATGGATGGTTAACCGTACCGTTTAGTTTAAGTGGTCGGTTAACCGTCATAACGTTTATAAGATTTTTCTAACCATAACCTAACCATTAAGAAACGGTTAACCACTAATGGTTCAGTTATTGATTAACCTATTACAATTATTTTTTAAAATTTTCTCATAATTCATACTACAAAAAAGTGTAGCACTTAACACATACTTACACCGATGTAGTGAATAAAATAAAAAAGTCTAGCACTTAACACATACCTATATCGGTGTAGTGAATAAAATAAAAAAGTATAGTACTTAACACATACTTACACCAGTGTAATGAATAAAATAAAAAAGTGTAGCACTTAATACATACTTACATCGGTGTATGTACATCTCACAATATCTTAATACCTAACAATAAATACATGATTATATTAATATAAGTATGTTTCTATATTTTTAAAGAAATAAAAAAATAAAAAATAAATATATATATTAAGTTATTTGTATATAAATTTTATTATATATATATATATATAAATTATAAATAAAAAAATTATATTACGTTATTTGTGTAAAAATATCATAAATTAAAAATATACTTATAAAATTAATTTATTAACCATTAACCTTAACCGAAATTTATAACTATAACCTTAACCGTTAAACATCACTTTTAGTGGTTTGATTAACCGAAACCGTTTAATATTAACGATTCGATTAATTAACATGTTAAATGTAATGGTTATATCGGTTAACAGTTATAGATTTTTTTGAACACCCCTATTAGTGATCATGTACAAGTCATTAATATATTCTCTGTTATCATGCACATACCAACATACATGCATATATAGAGCGAATCCAAAAATTTATAAATGGAATCCAAAACTTTAATACTAACTTTTCAACATGATGAGTATACAAGATTTTTATTTTTTCTTCTTTCCTTAATATATTGAATTTCATTTTCAATTAATCTAAAATAACAGATATGCATTTGACCTTTTGACCTCTTATGAGGCTATATATCTCCACCCCTGTACAGAATGGAGGATACATATACGGGCCGAGTCATACGATTTTGTGATCTTATTTGAGTTATCCTAAATTTACAGGTTTAATTAACAATTTCAAAAGTTTTGTGGGGTTAAATAAAAACTTTCTTAAAAAGACAAATATCACAAAGGACATCAATGTAATTATACATGTTTAAGATAGATTTTTGAACGCCAAACAGCAACCTTCTATTATATAAGCAGAGGCCAGAGGCCCCTCTTGGTTAGGTAATTTTGTTTATCACATAATAGTATAACTGCCGCTTTTCCTTTCTACTGCTCCTAGCTTTAAAATATAGTCCATGCAGTAAAGAAAACAAAACAAAAGAAACGGCTGTAAGTTTAAAGGCAGCCAAGGCCACAGAATGAACTGCCATGGCTGCTGTTTTGAGGGATCTGCAGAACAATATATACATTATAATTCAGCTATGAATAATATAAAAACTATATATAGTACGAGATTTTGTGAAACATCCAAATCAATCAAGAACTATAAATGGTTAAAGACGGCTTAAAGTACGATTAGAGAACCTTCGCCCAAAAGATATATTTGGAAACAAAGTACACACCTCGACTCCATGAGGACCAATGCGGTTGCGAGATAAAAAATTGAGTATCAATGCAGCAAATTCATCAGGTACATCCTCCTACCAATTTATCATTCAGAAGGTACATCTTGTAATAAACTGATGTGAACCTGTATAGCATGCCCTGTATGTCTGACTACCACCATCTGAAACTTGCCTTGCATTTGACCTATTGTGAGTGCTCTATTACACAGAATGCCAAAAAAAGGGAAAGCAGAAGTTAACCAATTGTAAAGAAAAAAATATTATAAATCTCTTGATCCTTGCCAATTCCATATGCTATATCCTTAAGAATCCATCATTTTAGTTACAATGGCATCTTCATTGAAATGCCAAAGGACGAGAAATTTTTTATTCAAAAATAATATCGAATCCCTCCGACTCTAAGGGTGTCGGATACAGGTGTTCAAAATTTTCTTTTCAAACTTTTGATATTTGGAGGACTACGTCTAAAAATTCACGTCCAGTGGATATGACTCGAACAGAAGTGTATTATGAAAAATGAAGAGTTGGACCATTATAAACCATTTTACCTTGTATATCAAAAATGATATAACAGTAGAAACCACTAGAAGCGCTGATCGATTTATGTTATTTGACAATAAAATAGGTCATGGTGGAAAACATGAAAGGTTTGTAAAATTAAATAGGTGTAGTATTAAAAATCCAATGACGCTACCTGTCCAGTCTGTCAGTGCCAGCTAATAGTAAGAGCTTTGGAACAGGAGAATATAGAAATTTTTCTGAAAAGCCTTCATACCTGCAAGACAGCAAAGTTAAAAATGACAGCTAAAAACAACGCTATAAGAGTCGTGATCATCACATGAAATAATTTAGCATAGGATGTGTAAAAACATGAAAAAATGAGTAATTAAGGTTGGCTGACATTATTCTGTAATGAGGAACTGTCTTTCTTTTATGAAACTTGATAACGTTAAGTTTCAACAAACTGATCCAACAAGCAGAATAAGTTGACCGTACATTTCAGTTGGGAACTTTTCTCCCTTTCCTTTTCCTCTATCCTCACTCTTTAGAAAGAGGGATGAAAAGAACTACCCACGGAAATTATTTACAGATGATATATTCTCTACTTTAATATGCTGCTAGGTTAGCTATATGTGTATGAATCCATACATAAACATGTATACCAGGAAAACAAAATGCACAAGAAGAAAAATACTAAAAGCCTCTTAACTCTCAAATTACAAATTTTTTTTTATAAGAACTCTCAAATTACATCAAAATAGTAGTTCAGGAAATGGTTGTCTATCACACCTGAATGAAGACTCGTCTATGAAAGTTGTGTATGATGTAAACTATCTTTTCAGAACAATTTCAAAAGGTTTTACATTAATGCACAGGCAAGGCACAAATTATATTACTTTCCATCATTATTTTTTCTATATTCTTACGAGTTCCTATTCTTGTAGAATGGAAGCACAGCAGAAAAACCTATAAATATCCTACCTACAAGTTCCAAGAAACTTTGGCATTCGGTTTTAAAAATTAGAACCACCATAATGCAGATAATTCTGTACATAATTTTAACAGGAGTCTCCATACAACAGTTCACTATATTGTTCTTCGGAACCCCGATGAGCATATTTACACTCACCATTAGAGATGGCAAATGATCTCAACTAAATCAACTCCAACATACCCAGAACCCAAATTAGTCGAAAATCTTGGATCTGAAATAATCTTTTTTATATATAAGAATTGGAGGCCTCGTTAAAAAACCTCTTCATACTTCTCAGTATACAAGAGTATACCGATAGGTAGCGGAAGGAGGAAAAGAGTGCCTCGTATTTTATTTCAGCAGCGAAAACCTTTACAATACTTCAAAAAACTACAATACAGAACCTCATTAAGCATAAAACTAACACACTAGATAGCACCAGTTAATAGACCAGCAACCAAGCTTCTATAAAACCAAAAGATCCTTTTCAATACCTTGCTTTGCCAACTCATCGGCTCTACTCTTGACATGGCGAAAAACTATTCCCCGCTCACGAACAACCTCTGCAAAATCTCTAACCAGATTCGAAAAAGGTCCAGGGAATAGAAGAGGATCTGAAATAATCTAAATCCAAACCTGGACAGTACTATCCTATTGCAGAAAAATGGCAAAATTTGATTCTAACTCGAAATGCCCACCCAGCTCATCCAACCACAGGCTGAAGCAATTATTGAAACATACCAGAGAAGATCAAATAAAATACAATACCTCAAATGCTGAAAAGCTACAAAATATGAAATGATCTAAACAGGAAGAACCTAGACAAAACCACCCAACAGAGAATCTTTTTATTGACAAGCAAAATTTTTACCGCTGACGGTAGACTGCCAAAATTTAAAATTAGTTATTACAATACAGAACAAGAAGTGGTTCAGAAGTACGTTGTGTAAGCTTCTAAAATACCCTTCGACTAAATCATACGAGTAAAAAGAAGAAAGGTATCAATCTTCAACTCTTCATCACAGGAAAACAAACAGGAAACTAAATGCGTTCATATCAACATATAAAGAATCAGTTCTCAGGCACACAATACGTGGCAATGGCGGCAACTCATAAGAAGCCTGGGAAAATAAGACAAGACACTTCACGCTCTACAACAACCCTAGACAAAGTAGAAAAGAGGAAAATTCTGCAAGCTATTTGCATACTTTAGCTGTAAGCATTATTTCAAATCACTTTAAGTAGCTTCAACAAAATATATACATACGAAAACTGATAACTCTTAAATAATGGAATAACATAAATACTGAACAAACCAACCTGGCAAAATGTAATTCCTGGAAGCAGTACAAAAATTCATCAACCAAAAAATTATACACAACCAGGTATGTGAAAAACTGATTTGTAGCCAAGTCATTTACACTTTGCTTCGTAAGGACGGAAATTTTGTTAATTTAGTGGTTAAGTGACTGTAGGAAAGTGGATAGGCATTTTAACCATCACATTAACAAGTTTTGCATCCTTACCACTTCCCATTCTCCCTACCAAGCAAAGCCTTATAGTGACGGCTAAGGTTTCGGTTCAAATATACACAATAACGTTAAACCTCATCAGTAGCACACGACATAAAATAGTTAACAGCAAAACTTCACTCACCAGCCTCTCCAATATTGTTCGGTCTCTTCCAGCCGTGCTCTGTGGACATAACTATGGCAAAAAGTAAAATTAATTGGAATTGAAAATGTAACAACATATAGTTAACATGACAAAAATACTTACCATTTCTTTGAATCATCATACTTTAAAGTGGTTGGAATGGATACGCGAGCAGAGTCAATATTTCTTAGAGAACCTCCTCTAATACTCCATTCAATCTGCACGCTAATTTGCCATTAAAACAATAATTTGAACAAGCTTGCATGAAGAAAATACAATTCATTAAGTGCTCACTTTATGTGATATTGGCCCAGTCTGTTTATATAGCAAGCAGTGCATTTTCTCTGTATTCTCAACAACCAGCCTTCTAAAGTAAAAAATCAGTTTGGTATAAAGGGTTTCCCTTTTTCTGTTAAAGTAAAGTAACAGCACTCGGTTGCTAATGCTTAGTGAACCACAAGAACTAGAAGTTTCTCCTAGCACTCAAAACCAACAGTGATCTTAACTTAGAACCTTTTTGAGAGCATGAAAACCTATATTTCTCTACCGTTGATTAATTTTATTCATTTCACGTTTTCTTCTAATAAAATTCTTCAATAGTTCAGCAAGTTAGCAGCTGTTATCTGCTGAGTCACCTGCATAAGCACAAGAAGACCGCTATTGAAGTCATCCCCTCAAAAGATAGAATTCCAAAACTTCTCTAGTGCTGTTCACTAATTGCCTAACTTTCTTATAGTCATACTAAATAATCCATAATCCTATATACCATGATTACTAATGGATTTGAGAAGTTTTGAAGAAGTCTGGTGCCAGAACATTACTGAAAATCAGATAGGTGGACCGTCACCACAGTAACACTGACATTTTTAATCAAATAAATACATACAAAATATTCCTAATTGAAGTCCTGTTATATTTCATGAGCCTATATATAGCTTGTGTGGAAGTCGCACAAAAATCTCAATACAGTAAGTGATTGGAGATAGTTGACCCATTCTAGAACCCTTATGTTAGTCTGAAATCATGATACTACTAGAGGAGAAAATGATTAATTGGATTTGGCCTGGTACACTTTGACAAGCTGGGTAGGAAAGAGCATTTCAACAGTGAATTCAGAATTCCTGCTACTTTATACTTCCAATGGTTTGTCAAATCCTTGTCTAGTGACACTCATGATGGACCACTACTTGGTTACATGTCTTACTTTTATCAACAAATTTATAACTTCAAGAATTACAAAAATTTATTAATTAGTAGTTTATAGTTGAATTTAATGTGCTTATATATTCACTAAAATTATTAAGGGTAATGACTCGGAAAATGCAACAGCGCAAATACAAACCTACACCAGTATCCACATAAACACATACATGTAAGCTTGAAATACAGTACATTTTTTTATAAGAAAAGAGGCCTTGAAATACAGTACATTTAATCACATCAAAGAGAGATGATATACAAATGAATAAAAGAAAATGTCATTCATAAGATAAGAAAATGTATTTACCGCTTTCTCAATACTTGAAAAATGCTGCATTCTGCCAGAGAGGATTTTCTGCATGTGAACTAATGATGCCATTGCTGTCCCCTGAAGCAAGTATGTTTGCTTTTAATACATTACTTTTCTAGCAATCAAACAATTAAAAGATAATTTCAAGAAGCTTTTCAAGTGGCCAACCTCTACAACATCCACAACCACCAAACCAGCTAAGCAACGCAGTGTTTTCTTTGCAGCAACGTGTATCGCGACTGATCCCCCCATGCTGCATATCAATGGCATAAGGTGATAATGAGAAATTTAATCACTTAGCATTTTTCCCATTTCATTCTTTATATGCAACGTACAAAAGTTTAACAGGTCCATTTTTTTTCTAATTTGATCATTTGAACTAAATCACGAAAGGAAAAATAGCCATTTCAGTGAGAGTTGAAACATGCCTTTGAGAAATAGAGTGCACTACCAATGAAATAGTTATTCAAAATAATTCATCTTTGCTCAATTAGAGAGTTAAATTGCCAGAATAGATTATTCAGCTTTCTGGATTAATTGACTAAAACCAATTTTTCCAAGAAACAATCTCGAAACCTCTTCACTCTTCAAATCCCATGATTCCAAATTATAGGATTGTCAAAAGAACGAACAAATCTTTATTAGAGCTAATAATGCATATACACTGTGCAAGCACAGACGGAAAAGACAAAGAGATAAACTAAAAAAGTCTAGCCGCAATTTGGCATGTCTGATTGATTAGTGAGCTTGATCAATGAGCATTTATTATTTTATTTCTATTACTTGCTTATCCTCTAGAAAATGAATTATGTACACAGTTATCAAAACTAAAACAACAGGACAGTACAACCTGTGGCCAACAAGCACAATTGCAGGAGGAGAATCTCCATACAGTGCCTTCATAACAGCAAAAACATCGTTGCACATAGTCTGCACATATGAGGGAGGTTGGGGAAATAGGGGATTTAATTTTGGCTAAGGACATTTTGGTTAGACTGGTCCCTAGGGCTTGTAATTGGGAGGCTGATAAGTTAGCTAAGGAGGGGATTGGTTGAACGTTCTTTTAGTGTTTTTATGGTTAGGTTTAGTCTCTTATTTCGGGTGATGTTGTAATTAAAGTCTTATGTAATTATGTAATTTTGGGTTATTAATATATTGAGGTACTCTTTTCCTCCTTCCGCTAATTGCCTCTTCTTAAGAGGCAACTATGAGGGAGGTTTTTAATGAGACCTCCTATTCCTATAAAAAAAAATAGTCTGCACATATAAGATATCTTTTAGTTCCATGGAAGCAGCACTAGAATGACACAATTCATGCCCAAAGCCACAAACATTTAAAATGACAGTTTGTAGGAGAAAATATCATTTACTTATATTTACCGAGCTTAAAATTTTACCTCAATAGATAGATCGAGATCATCTTCTGAGGTTGATTTTCCATGTCCTCTGAGGTCCATGGCAACTACTCTAGGTTTCTCTTTAATTTTACTAGCAGACAGTGCAAACGAGAGCCTGGGATAGCAAGTTAGACAACTCAATTTCATCAGAAATTCAATCACGAGAAAAACATAAATCATCATATATTGATATCCTAAATCAACATAAATGTGAAGTATTTTTAGATTGGATTATAATCTACATAAGTTTCAAGTTTATCATGATCAAACTGAGGCTCCTTTGGAAGGGTTCAATTTGCTTAAGAGAAAGAATGAAGAGAGTCGCTTAGGAATCTGGTTGATCAAGACAAACTTGTAGTCTTTTCAACACAAAGGAATTGAATGCCAGAACTGAAAATGAAAACCAAAACTTATCATTCAAAGTACCATGGCAACGCAACAGTAATAGCTTGATTATAATATAGCACAATATGTTAATAAAAATATTCATCTTACTTACAAGATTTAGGTTTACTTTGTTGAGTTGAATTAAAATTATTCAAATGAAAGTATTACAGTCCACTAACAAGATTTAGGTTTTTTGAGAGTTCTTATTCTTCTTTAGAAAAAATTTCTCACTTGACATAACAAATTCTTGAATTGAAGGATTTTTTTTTTTTTGGGGGGGGATACAAGTGAGAGTACTAAGACTACGCTATATCTCTACACAAGCCCGTTTTCATCGTCTCCAGTTTGATTTATATTTTATTGGCATGTCCTGAACATATCCCACCTCATCGGCAGCAAATCCAAGTAGAGTGTTGACCGTTGTACAAAAGTAGAAAATGGGGGTTTCCCGTGTTGGTGCTTCACAGATTATACTATTCTTTCTCAACACTTGATTTTAACTTGAAAGCAACCTTTTGGATGTAAGAAGCAAATAGCAATAGCAAAAATTTACTGACCAGGCCTTAATATTTATAGATCACTGTAAACAAAGGAAAATTCATTTTTTGTGTTGAAAGAAAATCAAAGGTCATTTATACCTTAGCTAGAAGAAATGCAATGTGATACCTCTACGTTAAATCTTTAATTCCATATGTTAATCACTCCAATCATTAACTCTTTAGAAAATATCTAATATGATAAAAGTCTAATTCAAACACATTTTCTACAACTTTCAGGATCAAACTTCATATATTACAAACAAGAAAATAAACAAATAAAAATTTATTACCGAGATCAAACATACCCAGAGTAACCACCCCCATGTAGACAAAAAATAACAGGTCCTTCTGTTCCTGCCATATATAAATGAAAGACCTAAAATGATAAAGCATATTAGAAGTAAATAGGTATTGAAACTGGAAATTATTTCCATGGAACTGCCAAAACAAATGACACTAACATCGTTTGAGTCTGGTATGAAGACATCTCCCTCTCGATCAAAATAGCCGGACCAATCCAAAGGCGAGTATTTCTCAAAAGAAATCCTAAAAAATGTTTATTAAAAAAATAAAACACATACATACGTAAGATAGAAAATATAAATTCAAACCAAAAATTCATAAGAAAAAAAAATGAAAATCTAGCAAAAATAGTTCATCTCTCCCATCTCAAGTTATGTAGAATGAGAGTTCCATCTAAAAGGCCACAAAGAAAAATGGTTAAAGGAATATTGAATGCCAATGCTCTGGTTGTTACTTAAATATATGTGTTCTCTCTTTTTTTTCAAGACAAAAGTAGATGCAAAATAATCCATGAATAAATAATTTAATCACAAACATGACTATTACAAATAAACGAATGAAAATACTTTCATTTGACCTATGAAAAACTGGTAGGAATAAATTAACAGATGACCAAAGAAGACATGGCACGGATCAAATGCGAGTATCTCCATACCCTTGTTGAACAAAGAGTCATCAACTGTTTCTCCTCGTATCCCCTCATTTTTTGCCTCTCAAAAGCAATTACATGCTTTGTCAACAACACAAAAATAATAATATTTTGGAGACTTCAGCATTGCATAAAAGCGTTAGCATGTTGATACCGCATTTTAATCACTTCATTAGTAAATTGAGCTCCAGATTCCACTTCGAAAGTCCTTCACTCTTTTTGCATTTTGCAGTTGATTATTCCTAATAATTTTTTTTACAAAATGGAAAGTAACGATTTCCTATATATTATAAGTTGAGATTCAAAATAATATTAATATATTGAAAGGTATAAAAACATGAAAATTAAGTTTACAGAGTGTCTACAGTATTTCGAATTCGTCAGTCAATAAGCATCCAACAAATTCATAAATTTTAAGGATAATCGAGAATGTTATTGCAGTTGCATGCGTTTTACTGCATAATTTACAACGTTTTTTTTTTAATCTAAATCCTCAAAGCAACCTAAAAAAAAGCGATACAAAGCTCAGTGTGAATTTTCCTTTTCGTAATCCGGTTTCCTTGAAAAATTAGAACTAAAATAAAATTTATGAAAATCAAGCAAGAAAACGATCGAAAAACATGAAAAACAAAGTTGCTCGAAGCGAATGAAATACGGATACGAGAGAGAACATAAAGAAGCGATATAAAACAGAAAACTGGAAAGGAGGGAGATTGAGAACTCACTTAGTTGGAGGGCGATCAGGACGCGAGACAGAAACAACCGGATTGCACAGAAGAGTAACAATGCCAAATTCTAATTTCCAAATGCCCATCAATTGCTTAAAGCTCATTAAACTAGAAAGAAGTGTATAATAGGTTTTCTTTTGACCCAATAGGGAAAACGGAATAAATAATTAGCCCAACAGGGCGTATAAAGTTTATTTTGGAATCTAAGGCAATTCGTTACGGTACTCATGGAATTCGTTGCGTCAAGGTGACGAATTTTATTAAAAAAAATATTATAATTGACCGATTCGAAAATTTTAGTATTTTAATTATTTTTCTTGAAATTTGTCATATTGAAGTGACGAATTTCTTAAAAATAATTTTTTAATTGGAGTTTTTAAAAAATATAGAAAAAAATAAAAATAGAATTTGTCATGTTAAGGTGACGAGTTTCTTTAGGCTGTTGGCCAATGACATAATTTTGAATTGATGAAACTCGTCATGTGGGCGTGACGAGTTCCCACGGTTATTTTAATAAATTTTCAATATAAATAGGAGTGGGGTGTGTTTATAAAGTTTATATGAGAATCATATCATGCATTTGTGAGAAGAATATTGCGAAAAAATTTGAACGATCTATTTGGGTTTGATTACTCTAACTTCGACAATTCGGATTCAAGCTTGTATTAAGATGAGGAGTGAGTAAAAGAGGCAATAAAGTCGATACTTGATCAACACAAAGAGAAAAGGAAACTTGAATTAGAGAATAAGGACATGAAAATCGAGAAGAAGAAGAAGAAGAATGAAGACTTACCAATCCGACGCAACAAACGACTTATAAAGAGGAATGAAAAAAAAAAGAAAAATAATAGTGTAGAAATTGTGAAGAAGATGACGAAAACTTGAATTTTATGTTGAAAAATGTTTTAAATATATGTATAAATTTGAGTTTAGTTAAAATTTATTTATGAATAGATTGCAATTATATATGAAAAGTTAAAGATAAAGATAGTTAATGATATTCATAAATTATCCAAAAAAGTACAACAAACAACATGAGAATAGAATTATGAAGATTTTATTGTCCTGGTCGATATTTTGGAAGATGTGGACAATGCTTCCTATTGTGGCATTTACCTCTGCAGTAGCCATAAAGCTTTGGAATACCTTTATCTCGTTGAGGATCATCCATATTAGTATAAATTCGACTAGATTCAGGTTGACCCTTCAACTTCCTTTGTAATTGTAGATTTGGCAATCATTCTTCAGAAATTGTTGGTGGCCAATAAAAATCGTTTGTGATACATGCACCACACACCCTAAAGCTAAGGATGATGAATTTACTATACCACTTGGCCCTATCACACGAGGTCGGACCAAACTTCTTAAAGACAAGCTTCAAATCGCAGTTCAAGCATTCATCTGTAAGGGTCTAATAGCAGCAGATTTGCAACAACGTTTTGAAGGGGATCCAGTTGTTATCCGGTCAACTAGTCTTCTAGAGATACAACCGTCTATCTTTTATCTTTCTAACAGTTCTTGAATCGCATCAATCCGATATCGGAAACTCAAGATATGGTCATTTTACTGAAGGCGGTGCATGCAAGAAATCCTATACGGGATTAATACGTGATTTTGTAAATATTACGAATTTTTAATATTTATATTGATTATTTGTAATATAATTTAATATAGGATGATCAATTATCTTTTAGGATCAGATTTATTATTTTTATTAGGAATTAAGGTTGGGTTAAAACAATATTTTTAGTTATTATTATTTTATGAGAAAATAACCTCAGTGACCAAAAATCCCAGATAATATACGATTTTGACCAACTTTTTTTGGATTTGCGAAAATGACCAACAAAATCGCAATGCGATCTCTAATTCGCATTGCGATCTCCACTATCGCAAATTCGCGTTGCGATAGTTGAAAATCGCGTTGCGATTTTCCATTTCGCGTTGCGATAGTCTACAGTTATCGTTGCGATTTTTCAAATTCGTTGCGATTTTCCAAATTCGTTGCGATAGTCTACAGTTGTCGTTGCGATTTTCCAAATTCTTTGCGAAAATTCGTTGTGATAGTTAAAAAAAAGATTTTGTTTCTTAAGAATTTTCTCTAAAAAGATAGTATCCGCGCGGACGTGTCGAAGACACGTATTACCACGACCACGACCCGACCCGACCCAAGACGGACGACGGCGGTGGCGCGCGAGAGTCCCCCTTGTTCTCTATCACTCAACAAGAAAGTGGGAAAGCCAAGCCTTAAATACCATTCCCAATAGTGTTTCCAATATTATGTGGGATTTGAGCATTACCAACACTTGTTCCCAATACTATGTGGGATTGAGCCTTAAATAGTGATATTATTTTTGAATGTTTTGCTTAAAATTGCAATAATCGCGATTGATTGTAGATTGACTTTTAATTATGACATATTTAATCGTATAATATTAATGCAATTGGTTGCTGATTCAGTTGTTTTAAGGTGCATGATTGTTAATTGTTTCCTGAATAATCACATTGTATTGGAAACAAGTGTTGGTAATGCTCAATCCCACATAGTATTGGAAACACTATTGGAAATGGTATTTAAGGCTTGACTTTCCCACTTCCTTGTTGAGTGATAGAGAACAAGGGGGACTCTCGCGCGCCGCCGCCGCCACCGCCGTCCGTCTCGTCTCGGGTCGGGTCGGGTCGGGTCGTGGTCGTGGTATACATGTCTTCGACACGTCCGTGCGGATACTATCTTTTTAGAGAAAATTCTTAAGAAAGAAAATCTTTTTTTTAACTATCACAACGAATTTTCGCAACGAATTTGGAAAATCGCAACGACAACTGTAGACTATCGCAACGACAACTGTAGACTATCGCAACGAATTTGGAAAATCGCAACGACAACTGTAGACTATCGCAACGAATTTGGAAAATCGCAACGACAACTGTAGACTATGGCAACGCGATTTTCAACTATCGCAACGCGAAATGCAACGCGAATTTGCGATAGTGGAGATTGCAATGCGAATTAGAGATCGCATTGCGATTTTGTTGGTCATTTTCGCAAATCCAAAAAAAGTTGGTCAAAATCGTATATTATCTAGGATTTTTGGTCACTGAGGTTATTTTCTCTTGTTTTATTAGGAATTAGAGTTAAAACATGTTTAGTTTATTATTATTTTATTCTCTAGTTATTTAGGACCTTTAGGATTCAGTTCCTATATAAAGGAGGCTTCATTCAACTTTGTAAACAGATTTGTTTGATTAATAATACAACGAGAGTTCATTTTTGCAAGTGTTGATTGCCTTGTGCCTTCGAAGCTTCTTCTCCTGGAGTTCTTTCAAATTCTTGTGAGGGAGATTAATCTTCACACTCCAATTTGCCTTTTCATTGCGACTAGGAGGGTTGGTTAGAGCCATATTATCGTGTTTTCCTTTTCATTGCGATTAGGAGGGCTCGATAGGACATTATCCATCAATTTTCTACATATTCATCCACGCCATCAATCATCTTTACCGTTCACTTTCATAAGGGATATCTTTTGATTTCTTGGTTATTTTTCTTTATTTTCAATTCCTTTATCTTTTGTTTATCTTGTTTCTTATCTTGTTTCCAGCACCAAAAAGAAACCCTAAAGAACCCTAGCTATTGCTACCACATTCCCCATTCATCCCTTATTGTTCTTCTAGGTTTGATTCTTCAACAAGAGCAGCGTTCATCAATCCGCCACCGCTTCCCTATCAGTTTGTGAGATACTTAAACTCAAAACTATATATGTTGCACATAGTATGCAAGCTATAACTGTTGAGCATAAAGAAATTAGTTACCTATTTCTGTATAGTTAGGAATTAGTTAGAAGTTGATTAGAAACATTTTCTTTGTAATTAACACTGTATATAGACATTATGTATACATTAAATTTTATAATAATGAATGAGAGATATTTTAGTATTCTTGTTTTAACATGGTATCAGACTTAATCTCGGTCATTTTTCCTGATCCATTAGTTTTTTGGGCCTTATTTTTTGGGTTGTTTTTCCTATATGATGTTTTCTGTTCGTTGAGCAGTTTCTTTTCCCAATTTTTTGCTTTCTTTTTTCCATTCCTATCAACAATGCCTTCTGTCGAGGAGACGCTTGACTTCACTAATCTACTATACTTGTATCCATCAGATATGCATGGGTTAACGCTTGTTTCTCAGTCGTTGGTTAGCTTGGAAAATTATAGTGTGTAGAGCCGCTCGATGAGGATTGTGTTGCTTGCTAAGAATAAACTAGGGTTTATCAATGTTTCTTGTCAGCGAAGCGCATATAATGAAGCTTTGCAGGTGCAGTGGGATCAATGTAGTTTTGTTGTTCTATCCTGGCTTCTTAATGCTGTTAGCAAGGATTTATCAACTGGGCTGGTGTTTGCCTCGAATGTTGCTTCTGTTTGGAATGACCTGAAAGAACAATTTGACAAAGTCGATAGTTCACGAATCTTTATTTTACATCGTAAAATTGCAACGATTTTTGATTATACGGTTTTTGGTTTCTTTACTCATTTCAAGATGCTTTGGGATAAATGCGAGTCTTTAATTTGTTTCACTATTTGTGATTATGAAGTCTCCTAGCAAAACATGAAACATTTGGTTCAACAGAAATTGTTTCAGTTTCTGATGGGTTTGAATGACTCTTATTCGATGATTCAGAGTCAAATATTGCTCATGCAGCCCCTACCAACAGTTAATCAAGCTTACTCGATGTTGATCCAAGAAGAATCGCAACAATCTCATATTTCTGTGATTGATGCACCTGATACAATGACTTTATTCTCCAACTCTGATAGTTCTTCTGATCACAAATGTTTTTTCTGGAACTTGTGATTACTGCAAAATTAAGGGCCATAAAAATATCAATGTTATCGATTATTTGGATTTCCTTCGAATTATAAATTCAATAAGAAGAAAGGAGTTTCTGGTGCTGTGACTAATTCAAGTGTCTCTACCGAATCTGAAGCTGCTCCTACTCATCACGTTTCCGCTCTCTCTACTCCTTCCGCTCTATATTCACTCAAGAGCAGTATAACCAAATTTTACAGCTATCGAACAAGCCATCTTCTGCAGATTCTACTGTTAATCTTGCAGGTATTTTG